AGCGGGGAGGGCATTCTTCTCGATCTAAACTGTAGCAGAAAGAAAACTAACTGGGGAGTAGTTTTCAGTTTCTATCATGCCTCGATTCCCTTTTCTGCCTTCTCTCTTCACCCCACAAGACGGTCCTGAGGCCTGAGGCCCGAGCTGTAGCCTTGTTCCGTCTTTATTACTCACACCAGTCAGATCCTGTACGTCCCTTTTATAAAGTTAAAGCCTTTCCATACCCTTTTATACAGGGCCACACAGTCTTGGAGAAGTGTTCCATGTGAAGAAACATGGTCCTATGACCAAGAATGATTGATAAATCATGGAAATCCTGAAGCTAGTTTTCTTGTTAGGTGGAGCAAAATCCGGTCTCAATCCATGGGGAGCATTTTAAATGACCTTCCCTTCAGCTGATTCCCACCCTCGAGACCTAGCCTAGGGCTTCTTTCAGCTTCAAATGGCCTTCCTCTCTCTTCATTCTCTCCATATTTGTGTTACATATTCGGCTGAGTGCGTCTCCTTATGGTAAATGAGTGTCTTTCCTCTTGAAAGACGATGAGCTGAAGACGATGAGCTGGGGTTAACTACAGGTGTCCTTTCTCTAACCTGAGAAGAGGAGGCTGCCAGGACCTAGCTCGGGTCTTACCCTCCCCAATGTGTCCTCCACACTGAGGTGGTTGAAATGATGTGCAAAAAGCAAATCAGAAGAACGTTATACCTCTGATAAAATACTTCACCGTACTTGGGAGAAAGTGTGGCACCAACTGTGGGACTGCCTGGCTCTGTTCGAGGCTCCCGGACTCAGGCCTTCTCTTCTTTGGGTGACTTCATCCCTTCCTCTTGTCTGAGGGCCCCCACAGGGAAGCTCCCTCGTGCAGGTGGTTCTTTTTTGACAGCTCATCTGAAGCGAGCCCTTTCAGAGGCTCCCTTCCTGACATAACTGTGATATTCAGGGTTGTTTCCTCCCACTGTCCACAGCAAACATGAGCCCAGCCTCCTTTGATGTGTACTAGCCCTTAGTTCCAGAGCTTTCACTAGAATGCATGCTTTGGAAAGACAAGACCCCATCCCTCCTCACTGCCTACCTATATCGTAAACACCGTTGGAGGACAAAGTCTCCTAAACAGCTACGCATTGACATGTACCATGGATCTGTCTTGAGCTAGATTCTTTCTTAAAAAGCACAGAACACAGAACTTGCAGGGAAGTTGGCATATTTATTACTTTTCTATTGAGAGAAGACACCACGACCAAGGCAACCTATAGAAGGAAGAGTTTATTGGGACTTACGTTTCAGAGGGTGAGTCCATGACTATTACGGATGGGAGCATAGCATCAGAAGGCAGGCGTGGAGATGGAACAGTACTGGGAGCTCACATCCTTATCTGCAGGTAGGAGGCAGAGAGAGGGAGCTAACTAGAAATGGCCTAAGCTTTTGAAATTTCCTGCAGTGACACACCTCTTCCAACAAGCCCACACCCCTAATTCTTCCCAAACAGTTCCACCAACCGGGGACCAGGTTCAAATATATGAGCCCATGGAGGCCATTCTCATCCCAAAACCCTCAGTGGGGATCCACTTGTGACTGTGACCTCACCTCTCCTTTCTTCTCACCCATCTCCTCTCCTCTGCTTCCTTCTTCTTGGGCAGCCTAGGACATGTCACTCAGCTGCCAAGGCACACACTAACAGGTGCTGATTTGTAAAGGGAGACACTTAAGCATCCCCCTTTTACTCCAGGCTTTTAAGTCAGGGGTCACCACACTAAATCCTCACCTTCTGGGAATAGAGTGATGGTTGTGGTCAACACTGCCATTGGCTTATGTGTTGGAGTTCTCCAGTGAGAGAAGAGAGCGTGTGTGTGTGTGTGTGTGTGTGTGTGTGTGTGTGTGTGAGAGAGAGAGAGAGAGAGAGAGAGAGAGAGAGAGAGAGAGAGAGAGAGAGATTGAG